TGACGCCACGGCACTCTAGCCGGGCAACACAGTGAGACTCTGCCTCAAAAAAAAAAAAAACAAAAAAACAAAAAACAACAACGAAAAACTTTATCAACAATATGAAGGGAAGTACTGAAACACTTCAAAATTTTACCAAAAATAAGATGTGTATCAATGGCACTAAAATGTGTTAATATAACTGATACATGAAGACAATCATTTTAAATATAATTATAAGCCTTGAGAAAAGAACTGCATTCAGAAATACAATCTAGAATACAAGAGAAATAACAAAGTCAACTCACCAGCAATTTCTACAATATCACCAGGAACTATGTCTTTAGCTTTAATCCGCTGTACACTCTTTCTGTCCTGTCGATATACTTTGCCCATTTCAGGCTCATACTCCTTGAGGGCTTCAATTGCATTTTCAGCATTTCTTTCCTGTATAAAAGAAAACAGAAGAGTAGTGAACACCTGCCTGCCACTGTTTAAATATTTCTAGCCCAAGGAATAAAATTTTAGAGTTCTAATCTTTAGAGAGAGAGAGAGAGAGCGCAAGCGTGCACACTAATAACATCTGTATTAAACTACCCACATTTTAAGGCAATCAACACTTTACAAGGGCACTTACGATTTTGTATTAAAAATGAAAAGATAAGCACCCCCAAGAAAGGTAAGGGGTAAAAACCATAATGAGGAAAAGCCGTTACAGAATCTGCTGTCCTGGCCGGGCATTGTGGCTCACGCCTATAATCCTAGCACTCTGGGAGGCTGAGGTGGAAGAATTGCTGGAGCTCAGGAGTTCGAGACCAGCCTGAGCCAAGAGCAAGAACCCACCTCTACTAAAAACAGAAAAATTAGCCAGGCGTCATAGCACACGCCTATAGTCCCAGCTACTTGGGAGGCTGAAGCAGGAAGACTGCTTGAGCCCAGGAGTTTGAGGTTGCTGTGAGCTAGGCTAACATCACACCACGGCACTCTACTTAGGGCAACTGAGTGAGACTCTGGTCTCCAAAAAAAATAAATAAATAAAAATCTGCTGTCCCTAAATATATACCTCCAGCCACACATATGCCACAGCATTTATACTGATCCTGTCTCACATGAAAGTTAGTACAGCTTAACAGTGAGGGACTAGGCTGTCTAGGTTCAATATAGGCTCTTCCACTTAACAGCTATGTGACTGCAGGTAAGTTAAATACATAGGTTTACTGCCTGTAAAATGAAGACATTAATAGCACCTACCTCAATGCTCATGAGGATTATAAGTTATCTATAAAGTGCTTAGACTGTTTTGGCACATAGTAAATGCTAGAGTGATGAATTAAGTAAATCAAGTTATACCTCACAAATTCTAACAACTATCCCACCAGTGGTAAAGACCAATGAATGGCTGGAATCTCAACAGCACTGCCAGTCACATAATTATACGTAGCCTATCACATATAAACCTATCAAGACTTTAGTTTTTCTTCTCAATTTTGAAATCAAAGATAATAGAATCAAACCTACCTCCCACGAAACTGAAAGCTAATAGCATGTGTGTCTCAATTTTGATGTATGCACCCTGGAAAAAGTATCGGCCATTTTAAATTTGGCAAATTCACGATAACATTAATTTCAATCCCGTATCAGATGTGCTTAAAGAATGAGTTTAGGCCGGGCGCGGTGGCTCATGCCTGTAATCCTAGCACACTGGGAGGCCAAGGCGGGTGGATTGTTTGAGCTCAGGAGTTCGAAACCAGCCCGAGCAAGAGCAAGACCCCGTCTCTACTAAAATTAGAAAGAAATTAACCGGCCAACTAAAAATATATAGAAAAAATTAGCCGGGCATGGTGGCACATGCCTGTAGTTCCAGCTACTTGGGAGGCTGAGGCAGGATTGCTTGAGCCCAGGAGTTTGAGGTTGCAGTGAGCTAGGCTGACACCACGGCACTCTAGCCCGGGCAACAGAGTGAGACTCTGTCTCAAAAAAAAA